GACTTGCAAGGTCTAGGGTAACGTATATATATTGATGAGAACATTCAGCATAGTTTTATTCATTAAACATTTGCTTCATTGTCAAAGTGTAGCAGTTAACAGACCATGCACTTTTCGTAACAATCTACCGAGTCTAAAGTTTTATCTTTCCTTTGTTGGTGTAATTCATGGTAAATTTTTTTTTTCCACATGAACAAGCACATTTAAAAAAACAACACAAGTGCATCAAAATGAATCAATGCTCATGCAATATTCACATGTGTTGTCCCCCCCCCCCCTCCCATCAAGGCTTTATCATTTCAGCTGCACACTCTGGAAATCATGTGACATGTAGTCTGAACTTTACTCTCAGGCTATACATTGTATTGCCCGAACCGGTAAATCTTAATAATGAACACACTTTGCATTCATGAAGAAAGAAAAGACATGTTTATGTCATCGAGGTCAGAAACCTAATTAATGAATTATGTCTCAAATTCCCAGCGCAATATACTTAAACTAAAAATTCTGATTTTGTTTATTAAACCTTATTGACCCTAGGAGAGGTGTACAGTTATTGGCAATTAAAATACTCTGTTAGTGAGAGTGACATGTGTATATTATGTTTGCAAACGTTAAAATAATTGAATTCCTTTTTAAGTTTATTGCAGTCTTCACAGATCCTTGTAATAGAATCGGTCCTATCAATTACCTCGGGAAAGTGACACTTCTCATGGCTGAGCAAGGTTTAACAATGCAGGGCTGTGAAAATACTGTCCAATATTTCCTGTGGTTATAAATAATAACTTTTAGTAATTTTTATCGGACTTTTATTAAGCACCAAAGTCAACTGCTGACCTTTGACCTAGTCTATTTTTGGAATTATGAGGGCATGCTCAGTAGTGCCTAGCAACCAGGTGTTCAGTTCACATACTGGTTTAAATAAACAAACCAGTCCTTTCCCTCATATAAACATAATGATTGTTTAAAGAACATTTCCTTAATTCTCTAATTTGGATGAATACTTTTGTCATTTTGGTAAAAAGTAATAATTTCTACTTCTTGTTAAAAACCAAAAGTCTGATTGCTTTGATACTATACATATAGGTGCCTCGGGCAGACCTCTCTCAGATTTGTTCTTTTTCCAATGATATATTCAGTTCTTTAATTGAAATGTGCATTGCTAACAGCGGAGCTATCTCAGTTGAGAAGCTGCTTGTTTTTCATTGTTTTCCAAAAATGTTGATCAACATTGAATTATATGCCTGTTTGGTCCAAAATTAACGAAGAGATACTTCAAATATTCATACAAAATATTGCACTAAAATTATGGCAGGAAAAATTATGCCATTCAAAAAATTTAAATTATGCTGTGGTCTGAATTGAGCATGTGCATATTTGACAGTTCTGTTCTCTGATTGGTCTATTGGTCTGATTGCTCACAGCTGACTCTACTTTATTGTCACAAAAAAACTTTAATTACAACACATAATTTTGTTAAAATTGTTTGAATTTATCAGCCTGCCTGTAAATGTGCAACATCTAAAAAAACTTGCTACTTATAAATATGTAAACATTTGTTGTTTTGTGAACTTTTGATAAATTCCCTACGCATTCACGTAGTTCCGACAACAATTTTCTTGTAAGCTTCAATAAACACCAATTATTGTTTAAGTTCAGTAACAACGAATAATTGATATCTGCACTTGTTAAACCAGTTTACTGTGTTGGCTCTCTGTTACAAGTACACACACTTGTTAAACCAGTTTACCGTGTTGGCTCTCTGTTACAAGTACACACACTTGTTAAACCAGTTTACCGTGTTGGCTCTCTGTTACAAGTACACACACTTGTTAAACCAGTTTACCGTGTTGGCTCTCTGTTACAAGTACACACACTTGTTAAACCAGTTTACCGTGTTGGCTCTCTGTTACAAGTACACACACTTGTTAAACCAGTTTACTGTGTTGGCTCTCTGTTACAAGTACACACACTTGTTAAACCAGTTTACTGTGTTGGCTCTCTGTTACAAGTACACACACTTGTTAAACCAGTTTACCGTGTTGGCTCTCTGTTACAAGTACACACACTTGTTAAACCAGTTTACCGTGTTGGCTCTCTGTTACAAGTACACACACTTGTTAAACCAGTTTACCGTGTTGGCTCTCTGTTACAAGTACACACACTTTAATACATACAATGTCAAGGTGTACATATGTATCTATGACAAAAATATTTTAATGATCAAGCGTACATTATATGGCATTTTAGATTTATGTTCACGGAGATGCACTTTTATTATTAAAAGCAAATGGTATTTTTTAGGGGTAAATCAGTCGTTGGTACATGTAGCTCATAATAAATCGTTATTTTTGTCAATACATTTGGATACTGTAACTGTGATGAGACAATATTTTGTTTCTGTCTGTATAACTATGTGATATATATAGTTATAATATAGTATATATGCCTTGTATTAACTTATACTAGTCTGAGATACATGTACAGGTGTTCCTGTAACATTTTACCATCAAATAACACACAAGATATACCGTAAAATCTGTATTAGAAGCCTCATCTCTAATAGAAGTCGCACCCATTCTTTTTGAATAATTGAGAACCCAAAATTCATCATTTCTCGTAAGTGTACATGCTCTAAAGGAAGCCGCATCCCCTCTGTTGCATTGTACTATTTTAATAGAAGCAGCGGCTTGTATAGTGATGACAGGGACAACAAAGTTAAAATAAAAAAGTTCTCAAAACTTATTAAATATGGAGGAGTTATGAATAATTTATTTCAATTATGCGCAGCCATTATCATATGGTGATCATTACTGTTTTTTTTTTTTACGTAAATGAATCCCATAACCCAGGGGTTTTCTCAGTTGTAGTGGATTTACCATTAAACCATACTGTTGAGAATACATGTATAATCTTGTAAACTGACTCAAGGTAATAGTTAAACAGCTTGACTCAACGACGACCGTGCATTGACGTTCCAATAGAATCTTAAATAGCTCAATAATATGTTCTTGCAGTGGCCAACTTTATCAGAAGATCTTTTGTATTGTACCGTACTGTTTATAATCTACATCAAAACATTATTGTTTTATATGTTTTGTGAAATTTACATTAATTACTGGGGGTATAGCATATGGATATACAACTGCATGAGTTGACAATCTGTTAGACAATGAGAACGAAAAGTATAGGTTTACTTTGTGAGAATAAATGTACAAAATGGCTAAAAGTGATTTCTACGCTTGATACACCTACCAGCATGCATCATTTCGCAGTTTCTTGACTGAAGGTAGATAGGATCATGAAATAATATGATCATCAACGAATTTAGTACGAGAGTAAACGACTATCGGTAAATTTGTCGTCAAACTGATTTGAGAATCTTGAATTGTTAATACATGAGTTCAGGAGGTCAGTTTTATCTATTCACGAATGTCTATATTTTGTAAGCTGTTAAGGATTTCAGATCTGTGTACGTGGGTGGGTGCACATGCATATTCAGGCTTACTTTTCAGTAAAATAATGATGAATTCCCTACGGTGCTAGTCGAATGAGACGATGTGACGATAGTGGGAGAGCTTCAGGCCTTGCATATTTACCACGCATCCATTAACTATTGTAGAACTCATTTTATCGTGGTATATGTACAACTTTATCTCTGACTTCGAAATGTAATTTATTATTTCAGAATAAAGTTGTTAACGTGGATGGATCTAAAGTTAAACTTCAGGTGAGTTACTTATTAAGTGATTTTTATTTTAAGTTATTAAAGGACCGTGGTCATTACATTGTATACAGCGTCGTGTTCGATATGGGACTCATAGCGACGTATACAAGGCGTGTAAAATACATTGTTTATTTACACGAAATTCGAACACGCGCTGCGCGACGACCACCGCCCTTTGAACGGATATACTCGCAAAGTTGGTTTTCTCTATTTTAAATAAATAACCTATTAAGCTGCAGAAAATGACAAGAAACTGTTTTGTTCTAATCAATTAATCAATACAAAAAAATACCTTTATTGTGTCTTAAAAATCCTGGTAAAATATCATATATTCATTAACATTTCTGACCTTCCTGACTCACAAGACTCATGAAAAATTATGTTTTGTTGAGTTGAAGCAATTTATCGTAATATCGTTGAAAACGGTAAAAGTGTCAATGCACTCTAGTAATTGTTGTATGTCTTTTGAGACCCAAGACATTTTGTGCGTTTCGCCTGATATTGAATCTTGTCACATGTAGTATTACTTCATCAATACATATCAAAGAATCATAAGATAAGGATATGCAACATTCATAAGCACATACAGGGTGATATACGAAGAAAATCTCATGAGAAGTGAACTCTATCTATTTTACGAGCATTTGAAAATGTACAATTCCCGCATACATGTACATGTCAGTTGAACGTATTTATAATTCCAGAATGAGTCAACACTTGGAAAGGTTTGATTATGTAAACAGAAATAATATTTTTGATAGAAGCGTACTCATAAATGCAGATACCCAAAATTTATTCATTTTGCAATATAAGAATATTGATTTTTAAAAAATTTGGCGATCACCAGCTCAATTTTCATATATTGTATTTTAGTGGATAGTGGCCATTTTGACATTCTTATAACGGTTCCAATGGCAAAGATATTATGTCATATCTCAAAATCTAAGGTGACATTTTATAAATGCCAATAATAATTGAAATTATATCTTGTGACTAATGGGGTACTTTTTGTTTTCCTGAATTATTTCAAAAATTCAGAAAGTTTTAGAAAATGTCAAAAAATGCAATTTTTTTTAACATTGTGTTCCATGGAATTGTTAAAAAAAAAAATGCTATTTCATGGTGCCATGGGACAAAAGCTTTATGGTTTTACATAATAAGCCATTGAACAATTTATGACAAACTTTCTTATTATGAGTAGGCTTAATTCTACTCTAAAAATAAAAAATATAATTGCACTAACGTTTTGGCAGGGGACACAATGGGGCTGCTCTTCAGAGACACTGTAGAATACTTTATTTTCGCTTGGAATTTATCTTCGTTTTTTTGCTGAAGGGATGCTTCAGTGAAAATAAAATCCAGTGAATATACTTTTTTTCCTATATTTTACTTTCAACTCATCAAAAATCAGTGAAAATAAATTCCATACAAAACATCCAAAAAGCCTTTATAGCGAAAATGAATTCCAGCTAAAATAAAGTATTTGACAGTACCAAACATGTCATATAGTGTCACATGCGCTTGGTTCATGGAAATATATAATGAATATATTACAATACCTACTTGTAATGATACTCTACCACACACATCCCCACACACCCCCCACCCTTACCTCATACACCCATGTTTTTTTTTTTGTAATATCAATTTCAGATTTGGGACACGGCAGGGCAGGAAAGATTCCGCAGTGTTACCCATGCTTACTACAGAGACGCTCATGCGTTATTACTTTTATATGATGTCACAAACCGACAGTCTTTTGATAATATTCGGGTAAGTTTTTAATGTCAATGTCTGTATGATGCGAGTGTGAGCAATTGGATTGTAGTTTTAATGTAGTAAAGGTATAAATGTACACTAGTATGTGAAATATATACACATACATATTCTTCTGAATTCACAGTACAGTCAGGGGAGGAGTTTAGGTTAGGGGAGAGTAGAAAATCAAACGGGCGGTTCACCAGCGTGAGCCGCGGACTGCTTATAATTAGGGGTCTCTACCGCGGTGGCCACTGGTACCCGTTGCAACCGCGGTCATGAGAAAGGTGTGAAATACGTACTTAACAGTTCCCTTTGTGAAATAGCTGTTTTTAAATCGAGCAGGTTACGAGCATCGCTGGCATGGAAATATTAAGCATATGGTAATATTATCGGCCCACGTATTTTATTAATATAAAAATCCATAAGTTCAATGCTGTATACTAATTGTTGTTGCGTGAAACAATGTTGTATTTCATGCATGTATTTATCACCAATTCCAAGAGTAAAAGTCGTAACTTTCGAAGGTACGAATGTTATTTACGAAGTTTTAAATAGCCGAGCCTTCCTGATTCAAGCCTCTTGTTGATTTGACAATGGTGGGTATCATTAATGTTTATTCTTTGCGTGCGACATGATTATTAAAAAAAAAACAGAGTTAAGCGGTCATGTACGTTCTATAAATCTAACCTTGCACACATAATCTTGTATTGACGTATTTTTTTGGGGTCAAAAACGACGTTGCCTTTCAGTTAACTCTTCACGTTCATGGTATTTGTGAGAGTTTACCGATTTTTTGAACAAATGTTTAGTAACTATATCGTTTTGCGTCAAACTGGGTGGCCTGAATTTAAATGTCAGTGTGTGAACTCATTGAGGTCATTGCCCATTGCCGCACGTAATTCAAACACATGGTTATTAGAGTTTAGTCGAAATGTACGCGAATAATGCGATCGAAGTGCGCTGCGAGTAATTTAACATTACGCATGATATTGTATGTTATGTATGGTTAATATTACATATTCACTTTATTTCGAATAAAATAATTCACCGATGAGTCACAAGTATTTAAAATATTTTCTCGACTTTCGTTAGACACCTGACTCCGGGACCTTTTTCAATGATTTAAATGCGCCCATGTTTATATTTGCGTAATAATTACGAATGCAACACATTATCAAGTCGGTAATATTGAAATATTCACAGACCCAATAGCCGGGGTTAGTCTCCCAACAATAATAAAAATAACTTAGTTTGCGTAATTATAATAAAAGCAATACATTGCAAAGTTGAAATATTTAGAGCCTGTGCAATACTGTAAACATATTTGCATTATTAGGAAGGCAGCACACTAAGTAAATGATGTTGAAATATTCAAAGCCAATACAGAGTTGGATACAAGTTGTGTTATTACAGTACCGCCGGATATAATAACAATTTTACGAGATCAACGCGCGGACCAAGAAAGAAAAGGGTTGCTAAGGTAACGCGCCAGTTCAGTGCGTGACTTGGGGTCAAATTTCGGTCAACACACACTTGATGTCAGCATCGCCGCGTAGCAAGTTTCGCAACGTACTTGAAGTTCAATTGTGCCCCAAAATGATGTCAACGATCACTCAATTGTCGCAGCGCATGTTGTACCAAGTCCATGATACACCCCGTTTCGACTTTGGCTTGCTTTTTCTTCTTAGTGCATGTTCTTGTTCACGTAAATGCGACCTCTCACCAATGTATTAAAACACTTTGAATTTATACTTATGCGTAATTATATTTAGTCTACACGAAACATTTATCTTTCTAAACATTTTCTGAGACCATGCATGATATATATTCACAAAATAATGCGATCATATTTTATATTATGTTGATCTCTACGTCTTTCTGAATCGTTTTTTGATTTTATTCCAAGGCTCAGGCAAATAAAATAATGTCAACGGTCAGCCGGCGTCATGGAATCTATGCATAAATTTGCATAAAATGCCGTCGACTGGCGAGCACCCACCACCACCGCGGTAATGATCACGGTGCACCAACCGTTTGGTTTCCTACTCTCCCCTTAGATAAGTACCACCCTCTTCTTGGGTAGATCTGCTATAATGCTGTGAAAAAATATAACAACTACCCACTCTATGTATTTCCTCTATTACAAATGCATCTAGACAAAAAAATGTCTCATGTTGTATACTGAATCATTAAAATATTACTTATTTTGACCATAAAAACATCTTTAATAAAAGTAAACGCAAGTCAGAAATTGCATTTATTAGCTATGCTGAATCCAAAAATAAAAAAAACAAACATTTTTTTAACAGATAATTTCTATACGTAACTTAATTATACTACATATGTTGCACATCAAGGGAAAGGTTGGAATAGTTTCACTATGTTTATTTCTATTATGATGAAGTATGATGTGAATGACAAGTAATGTTCTGTCCAGTGTCTGTCTTAATAATAACAATAATAATAGAGGAATTCTGCGTTGGACTGTTTATGACATGTATTGAATAGATGCTCATCATTTACTATATAATACTTTATTTTTGCTTGGAATTAATTTTCTCTATTTTCGCTGAAGGAATGATTCAGGGAAAATAAAATCCAGCGAATTTACTATTTTTCCTATATTTTACATTCCACTCACCAAAAATCAGTGAAAATAAATTCCATACAAAACACCCAAAAAGTCCTTTCAGCGAAAATTAATTCCATCTAAAATAAAGTATTTTACAGTACCGTATATTGATTCTGTGTAAAACTATTAGCCCATAATCTATAAAATAAATGTTAGCATTAGACGACAGTGGTGTCAGGGCCACCGTGAAGCACCTCGGGCAGAAATAAATATCCCGGTGGGTAGGTAGATATTCAAATTCTTGTCAATACTGTCACGGTATTCAAACCGGCTTTGTCAGGCATCAACAAAAACCATACAGATCCCATGGGAAAACTTAAAATACAAAATTTAGATGCAAATACTGTACATGTACAGGAAGCCTGAGATTTCCTCTTCTTTTTTTTTTTTTGTTCTTCAGTTTTGACTATATTTCCAAAGCAATCAAGGCGCAACAATCATTGTAAATGCCTATGATCAGTATGACAATATAATTGTAAATTAAAGAAGGCCGGGAATTTGATTTCCTAAAAGTGAATAATGCAAATTATCTGGATCCCTGGTTGTATACAAATGTACATATATAGAGGGGCTAGAAGCTGATTGGTCAATTTATGATCACCATCTCAGTTATATCTCTTAATCAGAATATATGTTGGGGTTTAAACTTTCTGGTACATAGTGCGGTTGGTTACTACTACCGGTTTATACTGTGAATTATGCGCACGCACGCAGTGATTCTGAATTAACCCAATGATGCGTTAATAGTGACAATACAAGTACTTTTTAAGGTCACTCAACGTCACACGATATAAAAGTTGTGTAATTAAGTTCACTATGAGGTTGTGTAAATAAGGCATTGTATGAGTTGACACATTTTAGTTACATTCATTTCATGTCGCGGAGGTTCAGAATTACTGATTGTTTGTGATGTTTAAGCGTACATCCTTCCACTTTTCCCAAAGAAAATTTTTACTTATTATGTATATAAGAACATTTTTTAATTGCACTAAAAATTTCTGACATTCTGAGAAGATATTGAAATTTCTATTGAGATCATAGAATTATTAATATCTATGAATATTCAAAATTTTGATGCTTGTTTCGGCTTTATGAATTTTACGTTTTGATGTGCGCTAATTTACAAAATTCGCCTCTTTTCAGAATTACTGCTAAAGTAATTAGGATTAGAGAGAGAGAGAGAGAGAGAGAGAGAGAGAGAGAGAGAGTGAGAGAGAGAGACTGGACGATTTTAATATCACTTATCTTGGAAAATAAAACTTTTTTGCTTTTGCAGTAAACGTTAGTTTTCGAACAATGTCCCTTGTTTGCAGCAAGAGTGTAGCTTACAATGTACGACAGCTTGCTATCCACACACCGTGGTCCGGGTGTGGGTGAAGATAAACCCCCAAACTGGAAATTTTATCAGGCCAGAAAGACTCTAAGTGATCGTTATAGAACATATCACTGAACGCACAAAAGAGTTGTGTGCATTTCCACTGCCAATTCAGGATGATATATCTCATTACAAAGTATGACTCAAAGCAGAAAGAAATTATTAAATAATAATAATAAGCTCACGATGAGAATACAGTATATGCACTCAGACAGCACATCTACATGATCTGCAATTTTACTGCATAGCACAACCGACTTGTATATACTTTATAGTATATTCTCGTGGTAGCTTCATATTATTCGTACTACGCCAAAGTGAACATGATTAGTTTGACAATTTGCATGTCGTTATTAAGGGCTTTTTAATTACATTCCTAATTAAATAATATCGTTGATTGTCAAGTTGCGTGCATATCATTTTGATCATGCTATATACATGTATTAAAATCGGGAGCCTTGATGCCCAGGGTCCTAGCAGTATGCATCGTGTTTAGTGTACACTATTACCGTGACAACATGTGTCATTTATTGCATTGATGTATCCATGTTTTAGTCATGATAATGACAATATAAATGCCATCTGTCACTCATTTATATGATATTTTGTTGACATATAAAAATGTAACATATAAAAATAATCTTCACTTGAAAGCTGTATCTAATGAATTCCTAATGTTCCCAGAGCTGTAAATCTGTAAAAGTATGAAATTATCCATTTATGTGAAAACTGTGCGCCTGAATGCAATTGGGTCATAGTATACACCCCTGAGTTGTCAGTGTCGTATA